TCATTATTTTCATTTTCAGTCTCAATATTCACAGTTTCAGTATCATTTTTATTATTTTCTCCAAAATCATTATACCCATCTTGTGTTCTCTTTTTTAACCACTGTGCATTTCTTCTCACTGTATTTCCACTTTTTGTTTTTATTTTATAACTTCTTGGCTCCTTTAATTTTTATATAATTTTACCCTCACTCCATATTTTATTAATTTTATCCTGTACATAGACCAATTGTCCCTCAACAAATGTTTCAACTCCTTTCTTTGCTGCCCTATCATAGAAATATTTTTGTTTTTCCTTATTTTGTAATATTTTATCATGACACGACACTACTTTGGGTTTGAATTTACTTTTATCAACTAGCATCGTGCTCCTCAATTCTCTGCTTTGTAGTAGTTGAGCCGGACTATATTGTAACCCCGAGATAGGAGTATTTCTGTATGCCAATAGATAAAAATCAATATCCATACCCGTATGGTGACTTTTTTTTAACATGTCTTTAGCGATACCAACCCCTCGTTCAGCTAGACCATTGCTCTGAGCATAATGTGGGCTTGATGTTATAATTTGGAAATTCCATTTGTTTGAGAATTCCCTGAACTTAAAACTACCAAATGGCATATTGTCAGCAACTAGTTGTCTAGGAATACCTAATCTACCAAACAATTGCTTAAGGACTTCTATAACTGCGTCACTTGTTTTATTAAATAAATTTAATATTTCGATCCATCTTGAATAATAGTCAACAATGACTAAATAGCTCTTTCCCCCAAACTCTGCTATATCAATTGCGATTTTATAAAACGGAATATATGGAATTGTGTGAAATAGCATTGGTTTTTTAATTTTCGACCTAATAAATTTTAAACACACAGCACAAGAAAGTATATAGTTTTCAATTTGTGTATATATACCAGGGAAATAGAATAATTGTCTAGCTCTGGCCTTAGTTTTTGTGATCCCTAGGTGGGTTTCATGCAATTTATGTATTATGTATTTTCTTAATGTTTTTGGAATTAAAAGCCTAGATTGATAATATAATAATCCCTCGCTACTTATAATTTCATTTTTTAACTTTGAATAATGTTTGAGTTCACCATCTTCACTAATTGTCCTAGGCCACCCAGATTTACAATAAACAAGTACCTTTCCAAGTACCTCATCATCTTGGGTTTTCTGTATAAACTCCTGTTCTTTTGAATTTTTATATGCTAACTCAAAATCACCCACTGTATGAATGACATCAGTTAGACTTTCCTCACCAATATTACTCCTTTTAATAAAATTTCTGCTTAAAAGGTCAGCAATGTACATATAACGACCTGGTAAGTATTGCAACTCTATTTCGTAGATTAAAAGCTTAAGTCTAAGTCTTTTTAAACGGTTGTTCGGAATTTTATGAATATCTTTCTTCATAATGGACACAAGAGGTTGGTGGTCAGTATAAATTTTAATTTTTTGACCATAAATTAATGAGTGGAACTTTGTACAGGCAAATGATATTGCCAACATTTCCTTTTCTATCTGAGCATAGCAACCTCTGTTTCACTCAAACATCTTGACGCAAAATGTATAGGGCTTTTCATCTGTGAAATACAACAACCTATCGCTTTCTCGGATGCATCACACTGAATTTCCAATCCACATTTGCTATCAAAATTTTTTAATGTAGGTATTTTACAAAGAAATTCTTTAAGTTTGATAAAAGTCAATTGACACTGTTTATTCCAATTCCACAGAGCATTTTTTTTTAATAATTCCCTAAATGGGGTGACAATTTCAGACAAGTTTGGTAAAAATGATCTTAGGTAATTAATCATACCAAGAAATGACTGAAGTTCTTTTTTATTTTTAGGTTCATTCAATTCCTGAATTACCCTAATTCTATCAGGATCAGGAGTAACACCGAACTCATTGAATATGAATCCTAAAAATTTGACCTCACCAACACAGTATTGAAATTTTTTAGCATTGAATTTAACATTAAACTTACGGGCATTTTCTGTTACTTTTTTCAATATCAAATCATGCTCAGACTTACTATCAGAACAAATCAATATATAATCAAAGTAAATCTGAACACCTGCGATTTCCCCAAAGTATTTCACCATTAATTTTTGGAATATTTCAGGAGCCACAGACAAACCAAATGGTAATCGTTTAAACTTATATGAGCCAAAGGGACTGCTAAAAGTGCATATATTACTAGAGACCTCATCCAACTCGCAATGATAAAAACCATCTTTTAAGTCTAACAAGCTATAGAATTTTTTATTAGCAAGTGCAGGCCTTATTTCTTCAAGCGTAG